TGCCCCTGCTGGGTATGCAACCCTCCGTAGAGCGGTCCCCACGCGGAGTAGGCTTGGGCACCACTTCTTAAAAGTGTCCTATGGGTTTGTACTACATACCCTCCAAACGGTTTTTCTCTACGGGAAAGTGAAAGCTCGGTTGGCTTAACAAGCGTACTATACACCGGTAGTGGACTTAAGCCTCCGTTATGAAAATATGGTAATGCATGTGTAGAGATCCAGCAGCAAAGTTGTTAATAATCAATATAACTCAGTGTTAAGGACAAGCAGTGCAATTTAAGTGCATTTAAATTATGGTATAGACAACAGTATTCACCTACAGTTGGATTCACACTTCTAAATGCACCTTGAAATGCAAACTTGAATGCACATTAACTACGACAAGAGTGCAGAGTACACTCCATTTAACTACTGTAAGTGACACTGCAGTGTCTGAGTACTCTTTAACTCAACATAAACAACGCTCTTGAACTATAGATCGATATGTAGAACCAACGCATAATGCGACAGCAAAGAAAACACAGTACAACTACAGTTTAAAACACAGTTCGTAACACAGTTTGCGATGCACCCGGACTTGAAGTTTTATTCGCATCAATGCACAGTTTAAGTCCTCTTTGTATTGCAGTCTGAAAGTATAGTTCGACCACTACAGTTACAACTTCAGTCAAACTATAGATCCGGGGAAGCTTCCCCGCCGTTTGCCCCCGTTCCTTGTCGCCTTCCTACCGCCTTTCGGTAGTTTCAATTAAGTAAGTGAGCATTGATGTAATTATGTAATACCTTACCGGATGGAGAGTTGAACGTGGGACTTCTGGATTGCGATCTCGTCACGCTGACCTCTAGACCATACGGAGACTTGTTGGGATGCGTGCCCCAACAACCCCGGTTCATCCCAGAGCCGCGCGCCGCCCCTCGCTGGGCCATTCCCAGAGGGTCAGCCAGGTGTCAGCGCGGTGCCGGGGCTAGCCCACGGCTTTGGGGATTTACTCCTAGATGTTTTGATGTCGAGTTTTGAATTTTACTGCCTGCCCTGACTTGAAATTCGATTATCAGAGTTTTAACTGCTGAATAGACTCTAAATGTGTCCAACCCTGTGTGGTGTGGCGTCAGGCGTCAGAAATAACCTCATAAAATGACCGCGCAGACCAAGATATTTAAGGTTAAAGGGGTAAAAGGTGTGCATATCTTTACCCGTTCTTTAAATTCCAAACATTGTATAAGAAAATTGTCATCATCTAGTAAATTTTCTATACAAATGAAGGAAAATATGACTACCAGACACGTATCGGAATTTTCCCATACATTTCTGGAGATTTTCCTATACTCTTTGTACTTTTCCCATACACATCTTCCCAAACGGGAAAATTCCTATACATTTATAGGAATTTTCACTTCCACTAAATCAGGCAAACTTTTCTCTGGGTGTAACACTTGTAGGTATGGCATGAGCTAGGATATCTGGAATCGGTCACCTCCTTCCCTTCATCCCGAAAATAAAAAATAAAAACTATGAGAGTTTTAGCTTTTTTCGATATGACAACTTTCAGCTGCTCGAAATAATAGTAAAAATTATCCGATCGCAAATATCCTAGTTCATATGCCATAACTACGTTCATACGGAGTCTGAAAATTCTTTGTTGGACTGTGTCAGACCAACGGCTCGACTTTAAATAGGTACACCATGACAAGACGACAACGCCGAATTGCCGTTTTCAACAGGGGATATCGCAGCTTTGGGAAGGAATCGACGTCATACACATTGCGTTTTAAAGCTAAAAGTATGCGCTACAAAACGGTTGACTCGGTTTTGTTTTTAAAACTATGGGTTCTCTAAAATTAATTACGCAAATCACCCTTAGTTTAAGCCCGCTACACTAGGATGCCATCTTAAATTTATATCCATGTGTCATTTTGGGCATTCGTTACGTAAGCTGCTATTTCAACTATTTTTTTAAATTTTCAACATCCCGTTTTTTACATTTCTTTGGACGAAAATTTCGTCCCTCTCGCTCTGTCTGTTGCCGTTTGAGCGCTACCGCCATGTTTCAGAGGGGAAATGTACGAGTATCACCAGGGCTTAAGAGCAGCGGTTGTGAAAAGCAGTCCCACAAAAGAATGTTATAAAACAAAAGTTGTAGAAAAATGTGAGACTTTCAACCCTTATCTTATATCAGTTTTTGTGGGACTGCTTTTTACACTTGGTGTTGTTCCCTTGTTAGCTTGTTAACCTATACCTCACTTGCCTGCTACAGGGGACCATAGGCAGTTGCGCCCCATCTGCGCCCACGAGGGCCTCGCCCGGACCTACAACCTGGACCTGTCATTGTTTGAACGGCTCGTCAACAATGGCGCAGATGTGCCGATGCTGAGTGAGCAGCGACGCATGCGGCCCTGCATCGCGGACCTTGTCCGAATAATCTACCCTAATTTGACCGATCACGCCTGCACGCTGCGCCGGCCGCGTGTGCGCGGCGTTGACGCCGGCGATCCTGTATTTTTCATGAACCACGGCAACGTGGAAAAAAAGGTAATACGAATTGGCTCTCTAAATCTTACTTGTACACTTAAAATTGCTAGGAACTTTTTAGCAAATAACAGGGTATATAAGGGGCCCAGTGGTCGACAGTACACCTGGTCGACAATTTCAACTTTGCGTCCGATTTCTGACGAATTAGTTGACAGCAGCATTTCCCGCGTTCGGGTGGTTTGTAGTGCACTATTGAGAACACAATGCACTTGTCGCCAAGTCTGTGTGACTGCTCGGTGCTCGGAGCCGACAATGAGAGGAAGCGCTCCTCGCAAAACGCTGCTCGCTGCTTGCAGCGTCTCACTGAACCCTTACTTCCTAGCTGCGGCACTAGAGGGCATAGGTGATTTTAAGTTCGTTCATCACACCACTAACAAGTTTACCTTTTCAGGTGCAAATCTCCGATTTCGTTGAAAAATTTGAAGGTTATTTATTAAGAGATCGGATAGCACTTGAAATCTTTCGTAAACCTCACAATTACATTGTAATTCGAAGTGAGATACTTTCCACACATTTTCGTGCGATAAAACGCCCCGTGTGATTCCCACGATTTATCACTCCTGGGGAAGGGGTCAATTTTTATCACAAATTTTATGTGATGCCTATTGCAAAATAATGCGATGATTTCGGATTTCCTACCAAACGGTGTGAATGCACATCGCACAAAACTGTGATACATAAAAGTATCGCTCAAATGAGTGATGGTCATCACAAATATAAGCAATGAATTTAATGTTGTACCTTTCCTGCGATGATCATCACAACATCGTGCAATATTTCTGTATCACAGAAAACGTGTCGTCTGTATCATACTCTGATTTACAGTGTAGTGTTTTCCTATAAGGGGCAGGTTTAAGGTTGTTGAAAAAGATATTTTTTTTTTGAAAATGTCAAGCAGTGTTCTTAAGGGTAACGCGTCAAAGTAGCGTTTTTGAAGAAAAAAAATGTCCGTGTTGCTCTATTTCTTACCGTTTAGGCGGTAGCACTGTAATTCGAAGTGTGATACTTTTCGGTGTGACGCATATTGCAAAAAATGATGATACTTCGAAGTGTCGCTCGAGTAAGTGATGGTCATCACAAGTATAAGCAATGAATTTAATATTATACTTTTTCTGCGATGACCATCACAACATCGTGCAATATTTCTGAATCACCGAAAACATGCAGTCAGTATCACACTCTGATTTACAGGGTATTGTGCACTAGAACGTGAAAGAGCACTTGAGTGATAAGCAACAGGCCCTGAGACACGACCACGGTCAATCTAAAAGGACTTTTATCGTCCATAGCAAGACGCGTTTTTGTGCACATATCAACCGGATAAGAATGGAATCTATATCAAGTGAGGTATTTGCATATTTATGATGGACAAAAAAATTATTGTCCAGAAGAAGCATGAAAATTTTTCACTTGCCGGATTCAATTCCGCATCCGATTGAGATGTGGACTAAAACGCGTCTTTCTGTGGACACTAAAAGTCCTTTCAGATCTAGACTGACTATTTTATTGCTCATTCAACAGTGCCTCATAGATTAAGTCATTTATTAAGATGTTCCTAATTTTATTTTGTGTAAGAAGCAACACACTAACTGTAAGTGTAAAAGAACTTTGTTTTGTACCTTAAACTAGCAACAAAATGTTTGTCCACATCCGCAGACAAGAGATCTATACCGGGTGATTCAGAGCACGCGCAGCCGTGTTGCGGGTTTGCCTATCGTCGACTCTGCGGGAGCACGGATGGGAGGTGAGGTGAGGGGTCCCCTCCTCACCTCTCACCGCGCCCGCCGAGTCGACGATAGGCAAACCCGCCACACGGCGGCGCGTGCTCTGAATCACCCAGTACAAAACCGTGTCACTTATTAGACCTATTGTGTCATTAGAAGGGACAAAATGTTACATATAAGACTTGTTCCTTCCTTTGAAACAAATTTGTCCATTATAAGAGAATAAGAAAATTGAGAATTGTCCTTTTTAACGAAACAACTTTGTCTATCTTTGGTAGATGCGTGTAAACCCGTTCCCATACGTTATGGACCGAATTGTTCTTTTACATTTAGAGTGCATGCGTTTTACTGGTTTTGTATGTTTAGGAAAGTAAAGGATACTCCAACCGAGCTGAAGCCGAGATCGCAGTGGAACTTGCCAACTATCTTGTTGTCCAAGGGTACGACGTTGAAAAAATCACCATCTTAACAACCTACAGGAAACAGCTCAGAATAATCTTGCAACTGGTACGAAACTAGTGTTTACATTTTGTTTTTACAAAATATGTTAGACACTACTCGAGGAGGAAATCACTCAAGGAAGAGAGTACGAATACTCAGGAAACCGCTGGAAACTCAAGTGTCGTACAACATCACAGTTCCAGCTACAGTACTACAGGCCCTGTCTGACAGTTATTAGAGCTGGGCAGTATGCGACACTGTAACACATGCCCGACGCGAAATTTCCTGTACGCAACTGGATTGCTTTTAGCTTTTAGTACGTTGTGACAAACCTATAACGTACTAGGTGGAGAGAGCGCGCTAAGTTCGGGCACACTCGCAACTAGTACGTTCGCGAGTGGTTCGCGCAGGGTCGCCGACATGACAGGTGGAGAGAGTCGCAACTAGTACGTTTGACGAATTCAGACCGAACATAGTTCGTTTTCCTGTGGTACGCTTGCAGTGCGCTGGGTGTTTACTGTAAATTGCTTACGAATTTAATGCTTCGCAACGTTACGATCAACTTTTGTTCTTTGTGTCGCAAAGAAATTTCTTTGTATTTCAAAGCGATTGTTTGTAAGGCTAGGAAGGTTCTTACGAAGAATCGGTTTGTATTACGAACTATTTGTTTGTAAGCTTACGAACAGTTAGTTCGTAATACAACGCTTCAAAATCCTTCGTTAGCTACGAAGGTTTCACGGTAATAGAAGTTTCTTATATTTCAAGACCCGCTCTTGGACGCCATTGGCGGCCTACATAAGATCCAAGACCGGATCTTGAAATACAAGAAACTTGTTTTATTTTATCGTGTTTGGTTTGCATTACGATCCTATTGTTTGTAAGAGGCATTCCAAACTAGATTCATTAAAATAAAGGTGACCCCTTGGGAAAAAATTGCCCTAAAATTAGTCCCTATTATGATACATTTTCCTGATTTTTTTGAGCTCTGTAGCTCAAACGGTTCAGAAGTTATGGGCATTTGAAGTTTTTTAAGGGGTTTTCACTGAAATTTCGTAAAAATGTCCGTTGTCGGAGCCAGGACGCTCTAGGATTCGATCATGCATGTCCCGGGACGTAAAATGATCTTAGGAATCCGATTCCGGCCTCAGTATGGGCGTTCCTAAACTCCTTATTCCCCCAAAACGCAACATTTCGTTCTTCGAGCAAATAAACCTATTTCGGGTCAGATTTTTGTATTTCCGCCCTATACCAAAGCACACAGGTTTTAGAACAATCGCGTAGGAAGGCATCTAAAGGTTATATCTTCCTCTACAGAAAGCAATTTTTTTGGCGTCCGTAGCTGCACTCGTTTCGGAGTTACGGCAGTTTGAGTATGGACGTGATTTTGATGCGAAATAGGGACATATGAACCTATTTTGGATCAGCTTGGGATCAAGTTGGCGATTTTGCCATCTTGTAGCCTGACAGAAGTCGGCTCTAGAAGCAATCAAGATTTTGGTCCACAGTCCACAAGGTCTGTGAAACATTGCCTGATCCGAAATAAGCATGTGCACCTAATTCGGATCAAAGGAAACTAATAATTAAGAATACCGACCAGCAACATATTTGGCAGTAGTTTTTAAGTAGAATAAGTGAAAAAGACGAGTAAACGTCATATTCTTGATCTGCTGGAATGCCTATTGCGGGAGATCGAGATTATATAAGTGTATTTTTGACTAAATTGACATAAAATGCAGTGAAACTGGCAAATATGGTCCTGGACTGTCCTGGATGACCAAGCATGGATCCTAAAGCAACCCTTTGAAATATCCTGTGACAGAACAAAGTAATAGTGAGCACCAAAAAAGTTTCGACTAGCATTAAATCGAAGCTGCTCGCAAAACTCGACTTAAGAAGTTGTGACTTTAACCCGTTTTAACCTCTCCCGGCGTTTTAACCTGACATGATATAAGATCGAATCCACGTTTGAAACGTGTTCTCTGGGCCTTCAAATAAAGATTGATACCTGGGTTAACGCGAAATTATGCGTACATACCAAGTAATGTCGATTTGATTACACCACAACATTCTCCCACCTCCTAAACAATGAATTTTCATGTTCAATTCGGCCGCGCGGGCCGCTTGGGCCGCACTAGGACGAAGCGATGGTATTTTCTTGTCGAAAACGACAAACCTTTTCACCAAAAAAATTAAAACCCATACATTTTAGCGAGGGAGCGTGTGTAGGTCTTATTGATCCGAACTAGGGGCTGATCCGAAATAGGTTCAGTCGCTCTAAATCATGCGTTTTGGCGAGCTTAGAAGGGGTACTTCCCCATAATTTTTTGACCTTCTCAGGGCTTAAATTGAAAGTTAGTTACTATATCTTTTGGATAAGAGGGGTGAATCATGTGGGACCGAACGTAGATTTCACGCTACAGGCTGACGAAAGCCGAAAAATCGTGAATTTGGCTAACAGGGTTGTTACAGGTCATGAGGGGGAAAAAATCGAGTCATGGAAAAGTCAGGGAAATCAATTGCAGAGTCATGGAAAATTACCCAGGTCGAACACAATTGTCAAAAACTCGTCAATGACCCTCATTTATGTCAAAATGAGCTCATTCTGGCTACCTAGGCGCAGTAAATTTTGACGATGAGGGTCAAAAGACGTCATTTTGACATCATTTTGACAAACGTGTTCTACCTTGGTGAAAAATTAGGAAATTGCAAAATTTGCTTTCGTTTCTAAGCTCCCGCGGGCCTTTACAATAGTCGAATTTATTGTTTAACATCCTTTTTTTCTTTCGCTCGCGAGTATTTCTATTGATTCTTCCGTATATTCATGTGTGTACACACTTTCATCAAGAATATCAAAGCAAATGTAAGTACAGCACCCAAACTCTGCACTCACGTTTGCTGGCTAAAATTTTTGTATCCTTTTCGTCGGTATGGAAGTTTGGTCGCCACAGTAGAGTCGGCACCGTTCCTAAGCGAGATGGATCTGGGTAATCTAGGGCGCATTTGAAATCGCTCAGCTTGGAGAATATTTCACAAATTGTCGTGCTCGCTTCGTTTGTACTTAGCCCTTTTCGAGTCAGCAGCGTCAACCAAAAGTGGCCAGCAAACCCCTCATATGCGATTCAAAGGTACGGTGCACCAATTTGGGCAGGTAAAAAGGGGCCCTCTGTCTAGGTAAAATTCGAGCTAAAACGTCACTTAAGGGACCGGGAAAACCCGGAAGGTGCCCACCCTGTAAATGAACGCATTCACAGGGCCGTAACAAGATTTCAGCTAACAACAAATAAATATTTTTTGGGTTGAAAGTCATAGAAAACGTCCAGTTCGTCCAGTTTGGGTCCAGTTGGGTCCCAGAAGGACCCAAAATTTTGCAATATGATCAGGACTTCAAAAGGCGCACTTTTAGATGGTCACTAAAACACCAAATTTTGGGCCCCACAATTCTAGGCCAAAGCGGGTTCCATGCGATACAAATATTAATAGGCGGCTACATGTAGGCAGCAGCTGTGGGGCAGAGAGCTTCATGTCCCCTCTCTGTAGTCTCTTGAGCACCCAAAATGACACTGCCAGCCGTTTTTCCCTGACGCAGCGCTCAATTCCCTGACATTTCCTGACACATTTGGTTTTCCCTGACATTTTCCTGACTTGTGTCTGTAGTGGCTTGCGGTACTCGACGAGGTGTTCGCAAAAGTCCCTCTTTGCGTATTGCATTTTGACTGATAATCTTTTTGTCAGGGAAATTCACAGAATTGTCTTAGAAAGGTCAGGAAAATTACCGATTTAACTTCTCCATTCTTGTGGCAACCATGCATACTGAAGGTGAAAGCATACCAAAAGCATACCACAAGAAAACAAATCTTTCTGCGTCAGGTGCACGGTTTAAAAAAAAAAAACAGATCTTCACGAAGAATTCGTTGTGAAAAAAGTTGCCAAAACTCTCTGTGAAATCACAACTCTATTTTGTTGTCAAAAATTAATAACTTTAGGAATTATTACGATTGGTTCACAACTTTTTCCTAGTAAGATAGCAAAATGAACTATTTTTGACTACAAAGAAGTGTTGTGATTTCACAGTTGCTTAAGTGTGGAACGATGTACTACAGTTCTTCGTGTAGGTGTTGAAAGTGTTGAGAAATCAAAAAATGTTTTGAACAGTGTAGCGTCCTACACGAAGAACTGTAGTACATTGTCCCACACTTGACTGCGATAACACATGGTATCACAAATAATTGCAGTTCCATTAGTACTGTAGATAGAACTATGATTTTGTACGTCACTTGAGTTTCCAGAACGGGCGTAAAGCTACACAGCGTTTGTGGGCAATGTCTGGACTGAAGTTATAGCAACGCTCACGTAAAGTGTACGATTTATTCCAGATTGGAGAAGAAGAAGAAGATGGGCCGAAGAAAGTTCGAGCGACCACAGTTGATAGTTTCCAGGGCGAAGAGAATACTATCATTATCCTGTCGTTCGTCAGATTTAATCTTACTGGCGAGATTGGGTTTTTGAAAATGGCTAACAGAGCTTGCGTAGCTCTTAGCAGAGCAAGAGACGGTACGTATAATCAATTAGAAATCATTATAGGCACCCATTTTCTTATGCATTTGAAGACAGCAGGATCTGTTTTCAAGCGCACCATAAAAACATATTTATGTGCTAACACTCTCTAAATGGAAAGAGACAATTCTTGTCCATTGCAAGTTGCGTCCGTGTGTTCAACGTAGCACAAGATGCAATTTTTAATCCTGAGAGGTAACAAACTGGATCCCCAGCTGGACGAATTTTTATTTTGTACAAATTTGTACCTACGAATTTTTGTACCTAGGTTAGATGTGTCCTCGTGAACATCATCAAATACAAATTCGTCTCTCAAGATGTAGAAGTATGATTTAGGACGTACACACCAAATCTGAAATGATTTTTATTGTCCATAGAAAGACGTGTTTTTGTGCACATCTCAACCGGATGCAGATTAGAATCAATCAAGTTAGGACTTTGCATATTAATGATGGACAAAAAATTATTGTCCAGAAAAGGGATGCGAATTCGAAAATTATTGTCCAGAAAAGGGATGCGAATTCGTCACTTGCCGGATTCAAATCTGCATCCGGTCTTTCCGTGGACAATAAAAGTCCTTTCAGATGTAGTGTGTACTCAGGATTACGTGGTTACAGGGATTACACGATAATTTCGGGGGATTACTCATGAAATTTGTTAAATTTCTGCACGGAGGAAAAATACTTTGGTTGCTGTAACTAAAATGGTGTTCTTTCTGCCCCCTTAGTCGTAACGATAGAACGTTCTATTGTGCTCCCTGGAGTGTTTGGTTGGAGCGTCTGAGCGCTCAGCCGGCACGATAGAACGTTCTATGGTTATGACTAAGGGGGCAGATAGAACACCATTTTAGTGACAGCAACCAAATTTTTTCGGCCGTGGTGACCAAACATTTTTCTCAGTGTGGGGCTAAAATCATTAAATCTGGACAATTAAGTGAAATTTAGTGATCATTTTTTTAAAATAAGGTTAGTATTGCACACACTAAATCTGAATGGACTTTTACTGTCCCTAGAAACACGCGTTTTTGCACACATTTCAACCGGATGCAGATTGGAATCTAGCAAGAGAGGAATTTGCAACTTAAAGATGGACAAAAACTAAAATTGTCCAGAAAAAGGATACTAATTCGCCACTTGATGAATTCAAATCCGCGGTGGGTTGAGATGTGTACGAAAACTCGTCTTTCTATGGTCAATGAAAGTCCTTTCATATTAAGTGTGCACGGATTACATTGGGATTACACTTCCCTCTGTACACAAGTTTACACGAGATGTGGCCTCCTCGTGCAACTTTCACCCGGGCTTAGTTCAATTGCCTTACTTTATAAGGTAGATACAAATTTGTACCAGAATAAGATGCGCATAATGACACATTTTGCCTACCCATATAATAATTGCACTGTAAATCAGAGCGTGATACGGACTGTACGTTTTCTGTGATACAAAAATATTGCAAGATGTTGTGATGAACATCTCAGAAAAAGTATAATATTAAATTTATTGCTTATATTTGTGCGACGTAGCTCACAAGCGCAACCGATCGCAACCGCAACGGGTCACAAGCGCAACGGCTCGCAAGCGCAATGGCTCGCAAGCGCAACGGGTCACAACCGCAACGGATCGCAAGCGCAACGGCTCACAACCGCAACGAGTCATAAGCGCAAACGCGTTGAGCCGTCTGGTAGACGGCATCGACTGTAGCCGAAGCCAGGAGTGGGAGCGAGGCGCACAGCGGGCCTCTGGAAGGGAAATCAACCGAGCCCATGGTCGCTGTGCACTTCTCGTGTAGGATGCGGTACCTCTCAGACACTTTTGAACGTTTTGGCACGGCTGAAATTCAGCAAATCAATAGCCGAGAGTTTGAGTAATGCCGGGACGACCACAACTTGAGTGTCACAATCTCAAACACACTACACACCCATACACACACACACACCTGACACATTTTCAACATACGTCACAGTATTAGTTCACACATTAACTCATTCTTTGCACTGACTAGTGAACTTTGAGCTTCAAAGCCAACCCACTGTTCACCTTATGATATAAAGTAATACGTAGGGTTATACAGTTGAAGGGTAGAACTCTAATGGAGTAAAGATACGTACTTTTAAACAGCCAAAGACATTGGTTTTGCAAAAGAGAAATCTATAATTGTTTATTTACCACAAAAGTAATCGCTGCCGCGCCAACGCGGGTGCAGTGCGGGTGTCAAAACGTTTAAAAGTGTCTGAGATGTACCGCATTCTACACGAGAAGTGCACAGCGACCAAAGGCTCGGCTGATTTCCCATCCAGAGGCTCGCTGTGCTCTTCGCTCCCACTCCTGGCTTCGTCTACAGTCGATGCCGTCTAACAGGCGGCTCCCCGCGGTTGCGCTTGTGACCAGTTGCGGTTGTGATCCGTTGCGCTTGCGAACCGTTGTGGTTGTGACCCGTTGCGCTTCCAAGCCATTGCGCTTGCGACCCGTTGCGTTTGCGAGCCGTTGCGGTTGCGATCGGTTGCGTTTGTGAGCCCCTCCGATATTCGAATTAACATCACTTATTTGAGCGACACGTCGATGGATCATAATTTTGTGCAATATGCGTCACACCGTTTTTGAGATAAATCGAAAATCATCGCATTATTTTGCAATGAGTATCACACAATTTTGCGATAAAAATTCATCACACCCCCAGGACCATGGGGATCACACAGGAAATTTTATTACACGAAAATGTGTGAAAAGTATCACACTTCGAATTACAGTGGTCCCCATTTGTCGTGCAGACGCTTTTTGGACATGAATGGACAAAAAGTTGTCATTTGCCATTTAGAGTTTCTGATGAAGATGCGACAAGGGCCCATGTAACTTCAGTACAAAACCTGTCCCTCCATTGGGGCAGGGGTCTCAGGATGGGCGATCTGAGTTGTCCGCACGGAGCTGAGTGAAAGAGATATATCTACCTATACGCTTTGGGCACGTGTAAAATATATCGTCGTACACTCTAAATAGGAAGGGACAATGTTTCTTACCTAAGTTAGATGTCTTTGCGCACATCTTTATCAGATGCAAATTTGTAAAGGGACCATTTTGTTCCGAAAACAAGACAAATTTTGTGCACGGAGAAAAATGACTTTGTTGTGAGGATCAGTTCTGTTTGGTTGGCTAAATCAGGGTGTCGAGCGACTCGGGAAATACGGGAATTATACGGGAATTAAATTGGCCCGGGAAAAGTTCGGGGAAAGTCCGGGAATTTTGCAATCTACTCGGGAAATCTCTAAAAATTTCAAAGTGCCGTGTCTTTCTTCAGGAATGAGATGCAAAATGCACCAAAAAGGTACTTTAAGTTGTCATCCGAAAAAAATTCTCGCTCGCTTCGTTCGCACTTTTTCATGGCGGTCACCTTCCGTAATGATCTCAAAGCGTTAGCGGAAGGCCGAAAGACGCCCATTGAAATGGGTCCGGTGTCTGGTAGGTGTATGATCTCAAGTAGGCACCAGAGCAACGCCGGCTGACGATACCAGATGTGAAAAAGAAACGGTGTCGAAAGGGTCTATCAACAGAGCTTAATCGCTCTAAAACAGCTCTTTATATCAAAAACATTTCAAAAAAATTCTCGCTCGCTTCGCTCGCGATTTTCTATGGGGAATACCTCTGTTTTGCTCGGTCATGCTCCTGTCAACCAGAGTATTTAGACATTTGTTAATTTTTACCTCTCATTCGATAGGGAAATTTTTCATCTGAAAGGGTTACAATACTCGGGAATTTCGTCAATTTTTGCTCGGGAAATACGGGAAAAGTTCGGGAATTTTATTTTCGGTCGGCGCTCGACACCCTGTAAATTCGATAACTGGAATCGAGAGTCCGATACTCACAAGCAGGAGTTGGTTGTTACGACCGGACACTTGTACGAATGGAAGCAAGCTGGGTTTTGTTCTATTCGTGGGAACCGGATTCTCGATTCCTGCTATCGAAATGATCTTTCCATACATAAATGATCCTCACAACGAAGTCATTTTTTTCTGCGTGTGAGGCTTTGCGCAATTTCATCTGGTTTCAGGAACAAAATTGCATCCGTCTGGATATGCGCGCGAATCCGTTTAATTTATAGGAACAAAATTGTCCCTCCTCATTTAGGGGCCCTGCTTTGTTCAGAGCTCGAGTTATGACTATTTTTTCGATTTCCTACAGGCTTCTTCATGCTTGGAAATCTGGAGTGTCTTGCTTCGTCCCAAGTTCCTGTGTGGAAACATGTAAAAGCAGTATTGACCAAGGCCGGGCGTTGTGGTCCAACGCTGCCCCTTGTCTGTCCTCATGGACGAAGGTTCGTACACTCAACTGCAGACAATTTCATTTCGCTTAAGTTTTTCACAACGTAAAGTGGTATTCACGCCAATCAGTCTGGGTTTTCCATGCTCTTTTTGCTATCCACCAGGCGACTGTCTGGTTCGGACAAATTTTTCCCAGGCATGCAGCGAAATAAGGGGATTAGTTAACGTATCTCATCTCCATGTCCTCTAATTGATCTGTAACTCACACTAAATCTGAAAGGACTTTTATTGTCCATAGAATGATGCGTTTTTGTGCACATCTCAACAAGATGCAAATTCGAATCTGACAAGTGACAAATGTAAAAAAGCAAAGCGAGCGTGAAATTATTTTGACTCCATATTTGAATTCCAGATCAGTTGAAGAAATAGGTTGATGCGGTGTGCCAATGCAAAGAAACGATAATGATAGAAGTACTTGTAGCTTTTGTGCTATGCAACATTGAACACTGAAAATGCCAGAGTCAGATATCTTACTCTCAGGAGAGTGCGCTGTAAAAATCAGTCGTTGAAAAACAGTGATGACTGTTTTGCTGGCGAACAGCGCTGTTGTTCTAGAGCAACAAAAGTTTCCGACGACAACATACGTTGTTGAAAAACAGCAATGGTTCTTTTCAACTCAAAACAGGAAATTTGTTGTTCACACCACGCGGGCTGCTCTCCGAATCTTTTGGTTATCTATGCGGTCGATTCATTTCGATACCAAAATATTACGTACAACAGCCGCTTGTATGTAGGCAACCTTCATTACTACATTACTTCATTGCTCCTGGTAAGTCGACGCGGCTGTCTATTGTTGTAACTGTTCACTTTTTTTTGTTGTTACTCGACAACTCTTGAAGTCGACCTGGCGTAGGCTACTTTCAGGGCTACATGGTCACGGGTACCGAAATGTAGCGGTCCTCTTTCGAAATTGCGGTCAAAGTGGCGGCAACTCATTTTTGACAAGGGTTGCATAGTTAGGTTACGATCAGTTAGTTAGTGCTATAATTGGTTAGTTTGGGTTAGATTTTGATGACGTTTGACTTTGACAGACCTAATGCACGATTTTGATGAGGAAAATCGCTAACCCATCGTAACCTAACCTAACATAACCTAACCAAACGAAACGTTGGCACTTCATTCCTGTCGTGAATTGAACGAACCCTGAACGAAGAGCTACAGAGCGTACACACATATATTTTAAGGGGGCAGTAGCACTTCGAGACAGATTTGAAGAAATTTTAGGTAGTTGTACTTCTAAAATTCGTCGTTATCATCGGGAAATTTTTATCCTAGCTCATTCTACTGAGTCTTATGTACTAACAAAGAAAAACTGAACGGCATCAGAATCTGCCAAGGACTGTAAATTAAATCGTGCGTGCAATCTAAAAAATGTCCTGCTTGCGCGCACGATTTAAGCTACAGTACTTGACAGATCGTGATCCCGTACAGTTTTTCTTTGTTAGTACATAAGACTTAGTTGAATGAACTAGAATAAAAAATTTCCGATGAAAAGTACGGATTTTAGATGACTAACTCTCCTCAAATTTGTTAAAATCCGCCTCGAAGTACTACTGCCTCCTTAAATCGTCTTGTTTTTAGGATAAAAAATGTACCTATATTTTAAATATTAATTAAAAACTTCGAGTTTAATACGCCCTTTACCCCGTTTAAGCCCCTTTGTGGTCATAATGAGCTTTCCCCGGACCTCGAAAAAGTCCATCAGGCCCATCAAAATTGCACAAAGACACCGGTAATGGCTTCAGAGTACTCGAAAAACCCCCAGGTACCAATTTTGAGTGGGGACGTTATCGGCGACATTACGAGGTCCCCGACGATGACCCCAGGGCCCAGGGGCCCAGGGTGACTCTGGAGATGCAAACGGACAGAAGAAACCCTTGGGTTCGAGCTTTGGTACCAATCAGAGTACTCTATACTTTTGACCCTAAATTTCCGTTTTCGCCCCAGTGTGAGACGTCCTCCTGGCCGAAGGAAGTGCTCCATGAGCAGAGTTCCAGAGCGTCTTTTATGACGCGAGAAAATGTGTTTCCCGGGTAAACTTTCAGCGCGTTGGTGATATTAAATTGCTCTATCTATAGCCGTTCTCTTAGTAGCCCTATGGTCAAAAAGGAGATATTTTTTTTTACCTCATGCAGAAGTACAGTTTGCTATGAACATACAACACATGAAGCCATTTCCCCCTGTGACTCTTAGTTTAGGCGTTACAGGTGAATTACGGTTGACCGAAAAACGTAGGGCCGGAAAGATTGGCTCCGGTCGTTGACCGTATCGATTCCGACCGTATATCGGAACTCCACCGACCTGAAAACGCTTGACTACGGTCGGAAACTCTGACTCCAACCAGAACAACGGGGATACGGTCGGAAAACGTAATCTAGCAAGTGAGGAATTTGCATCTTAATGTTGGACAAGATAATAATTGTCCAGAAAAAGAAAGCTAATTCGTCACTTGCTGGATTCAAATCAGCATGTGCAAAAAAAAATCGCGTCTTTTTGTGGACAGTAAAAGTCCTTTAAGATTTAGTGTGATGAGACTCTTAAGAGAATAAATTTACTTGTAGGCATATTTTGAAGTGACGTCGTACGTGAAATACAACAAAATAACGAACTTTATGAGAGTAGGGGTTTTTGGCATGGAATTGAACACATTTCGTTGATGATGTGCAATCATAAAATAGCCTACTCTTCTGCTTAGAAGAAAATTTTGAACCAAGGGCTCTAGTAAGACATACATCTGACACAAAAAAATATACATGTTTTTGTGGGGGAGGGGCGGGGG